ATTATACTCTAAAGTTTTTTTACCAAAATTAGAATGCCCTCGGAGCAATTAAAATATTTAAAAAAAATTATCCAAAAACTTGATTATTTTGCCTTTTTTTCATCAATTTATTGCTACTTTGCAACATCGGTAATAAATTTAAACATTTTTAACTTACAGTATATTTTAACTTTAAAAATTTACTGTTGCCGTCCTAATCAACCGATTTCAATTTTTCAAAAACCATTTGAAAGATTGAGTGGTCTTTTCTATGTGAAAAAATTTTCAAGTATCTAGATGCTTTATTTGAGGCTGTGCAACATTTTGAAAACTTGACAATTTTTTTCAAAATATTTTAAAAAAAATTATTTTGCGAAAACTATCGAACCGAAATTTGGTGTGTTGTTTTATTATACTCTAAAGTTTTTTTACCAAAATTAGAATGCCCTCGGAGCAATTAAAATATTTAAAAAAAATTATCCAAAAACTTGATTATTTTGCCTTTTTTTCATCAATTTATTGCTACTTTGCAACATCGGTAATAAATTTAAACATTTTTAACTTACAGTATATTTTAACTTTAAAAATTTACTGTTGCCGTCCTAATCAACCGATTTCAATTTTTCAAAAACCATTTGAAAGATTGAGTGGTCTTTTCTATGTGAAAAAATTTTCAAGTATCTACATGATTTATTTGAGGCTATGCAACATTTTGAAAATTAAAAAAAAAAATTTTTAAATTTTGTTCAAAAAACATAAACTATTGAACCGATTTTAATGAAATTTGGTGTGTTGTTTTATTATACTCCAAAGTTTTTTTTACTAAAATTAGAATGCCCTCGGAGCAATTAAAATATTTTACAAAAATTATCCAAAAAAACGATTATTTTGCCTTTTTTTCATCAATTATTGCTACTTTGCAACATCGGTAATAAATTTAAACATTTTTAACTTACAGTATATTGTGCAAAATTCAATTCTAAAACTTTTTTTCCTCTTCAATATTCATCCAAAATGCATAGGTTACAAGATATAAGTAAAAAACTCAGATAAAATAGGTATTTTTTTAAAATTTTTCACATTTTTGCATTTTTGAAAACGTTCCAGACCTCGCCCAGATTTAGGGATCTACATTTTTATTATGTGAGTTCACTTCAAAACAGATCTGCCCTGGTCTATAAGTGCATTTTTGTAAAATTGCAAAATATTTGATAGTATTTTCAAAAGTTAAAATTTTCGAAAAAAAGGCTTTTTTCAAGTTTTAATAAATCATACAGTAATGCACTTACACCACCCATCTTGGGTTTAAAATTTTCTCTAAGAGTTTTACTTTCCTGTGCAAATTGTGCGCGTACTCCAAAATAATTTCAAATATGCGAAAAATCTACCAAAATTGACTTATTTTTACGGGTTGCAAAATGTAGACCTTTTCTTATCGTTGAAATTTAATCGGAATGGCATTATCGCCATTTGAAAGCTGACATTTTTTTAAAAATTAAAAAAATGTCCTACGACCAACAGGAGCATAGAATTTTTTTTTAATTTTAATCGTTACGACCTCATTTATTAATATTAAGGTCTAAAATTTACACATGTTGAAGTTGTTGAATACTTTTACTACAGCAAAAAAAATAGTCCGCAATGATTGACCACTTTTTTTAAGTAAATCTAATTTTGTTGGACCCCGTAAAATGCATGATCTGCTCGACACATTGATGCGTGTGGAAAGAGAAAGGTAAGATAGTTACCTTAAATCGTAGATAATTTAATTGTCTGCAACATAAAATGACTAATATTCCCATAGGTCGTCTAGATTTTCACGAGCAGTAAAAAAAAGTGAAAAAAAACAAGTAAATTTGTCGCTTATTTGCAATTCGCCAACTTAGCGTCACTTTTTTCGAGTTACTTTTTTGATATTATCATTTTACACACCCTTCCCCGTCATAAATCGAACTCTACAATTCTTTTAAAGCACTGTGTTCAGATCGTGAATTTCACTATTAATGATTTCTGATATGCTATGTCAATCATTATAAAGTTACTTATTTCAGTGTTTAATGACGATACGGTGTGTTTGTGTGTCTTCATTGTTAAATTTCAGCGTGATATTATGTCAGAAAACACGTACAATCTAGAGAGTTGTGATTTGACAACAGCGCACGTCGTAGGTTAAAAAAGGTTACAAGGTTATACACTGTATAATTCTATGTCCAATTTAATTAAAAGCGAGTCACTATACAGAGTGTTCGGTTACTAATCTACCAACGTATTCAACAATACAAATTGAGTACGAATAGTTTTGTTGTAAAAGAAATTAAAACTTAATTAAAACGTTATTTCATGCATTGAATGACTGAAATTTGATTCGATCAGGGAATTCCCGCAAATAATTGGCCCTACCTGATACTGAGATCGCCGGATTTGTTCGACAACGGAACGGGCTGGCTGGGCATGAAATCGTTGTCCTCGGCGTAGCTGTACCTCTTCTTGGTGTTGCTGACGGGCCTCTGGGGCTGTTCGTCCTCCTCTTCCTCCTCGGGAGGCGGACTTTTCTCCCTGTACTCCTCGTCCTCCAGGGCCTCCGCCTCGTAGTCTTCCTTGAACTTCTCCACGGTTTCAATGTAGTCCAACTCGGCGAAGTATTCGTCGCCGTAAGCCATACCGTCCTAACGACGTTAATAGAATATTAAAAATCGTTTTTTCTTATGATTTATGATTTTTGAGGCATTAATTTCAAAGGTGACCGCAAAAATCGCCCGTTTTTGACAATTTGCAGAGAACTAAAGAAAATAGATAAAAATATGTTTTTGGTCTCAAATTACTCGTCGTAAAAAATTAAGATGAGCATAGCTTTTAGTTTTTTTAAAATTTTCAAAAATCACCCCTATTCAGGGGTTGAAAAGATGCCCAAAATGAAGAATTAAATATTACCAATAAATATAAAAACTATTAGCGTGTGAATTTTTCTATCGAATGATTCTTGATACAAAGAGAGATTTATTCTCCCGACTGAAATAAGCATGTTAAATTAGAAAATCTACTCTTAAGCGCGCTCAGGGGGTGGAATCATCCTCAAAAATAGAGAATATCAGAAATAATTGTAAAAATTTCAAAAAAAACAAAATTAAGATAATTCACATGCTAATAGTTTTTATATCAATTGGTAATATTTAAAATCTTCATTTTTGGCATTTTTTCAAGGGGTGATTTTTAAAATTTTCAAAATACTAAAAGCTGTGCCCATTTCAGTTTTTTACGACAAGTAATTTGCAATCAAAAACATATTTTTATGTATTTTTTTAATTCTCTGCGAATTGTGAAAAAAAAACGGGCGAAAATCACAGGTTTTTTGCGGTCACTCTTTGATGTCGATGTTATTTATTTTATCTCATTACAATTAATTGTTACGAGTTTGTTTGTGTACTTTTGAAACTAATAGATATGACAAAAGCAGACGCATTTTTTTTACAAATTATGCAAAACATTTTAAACGGTATTCCTAAAAGTCCCAAATGCAAACATCGTTAAATTAATTCTCGACAAATTATTAGAAATAAGTTATGTAAATACTTGTCCATCGTTAGTGACGCTCCTATATTAATAATAAAAGTATGTTCTTCCTTCTTTAACGCAAATGAATACTTTTTATTAAAAAAGACCTTAAGAGAATAATAAGTTCGTTTGATACCATGAAAATTCCATCTCTAAGATGTCTTCTCCATCATCAATAACCATTCATTTTACCCTAGAAAAAGAAATCCATTGTACCAAAATCTGGAGATCCTGGTGGCTATTCGATAGAAACATCTTGACCTCATCCAACAATTGCAGTGTCAAATGTAAAGTTAATATCCAGAAAATCAAAAGCTGAAGATACTACACGTGAAATGGTGACGATTGGCGCAAACATGCCTTATCCGAAAGTTGATAGTTTCGGAAATACAGGATGTTGAAAATTAAAATTTTAAATAGTTTTTTTGTGACTATTCTGAAAATATGTAGATTAGGAACATGAAAATTTGTGAAACTATATTTTTTTGGGCGACGAATAAGATGTGTGTTGTAATTTCAGCATTACTCATAGAGGGCGCCACTTACGACCAATTTTACCGAAAATTTAGTTAATAACTTTTTACCCTGTATGTCTAACATGAAACTTGATTCAAAACCTGAAAGAGCAATAATTTTTCCATTAATTACGTACTCTTGTTTCATTTCGGTATCTCGATCCGTTTTCGAGAAAAATCGATTTAACGAACACTGTGTTTTGATAATTACGAGAAATTAAAAGCGAAACAAACCAAGTGTTTCTTCGTGTTATTATACAACAATTAACAATAAAACAAATGAAATTCATAATAATGATTTAAAGTCAGTGTTCGAAGAATCCACTGTTGACATTTACACACTTTACACGTTTTCTGAGAGATCTTCGAGTTTGAAACAACATATTGGGATCTTGATGTACAAAAGTTCGATTAATTAAGGAATATTGACATAACTACGTGCATAAAATACAATGTTTATCACTTTTTCGAACTTCTTTATGCTTAATTCTAAAAAATTATTAACATTGTAATAAATTTAAAATTCGATAAAATTCATATCCAGCAATGTGACAACGCCGCTGCGGATAACAAGAGGTACTAAGCTGTCCAGCATTACGCAATTCAGTTGGTATCTGGAATTGTACTGTGTCTGAGTGTTTTTTGCGTACCACTAGTTTCTTTTCTTGAGGTGTTTTTTAGCGAGTGCATGAAAATTCGATTCGAAGGTGTCGTGCGTTCATCGAAAATGGTGGTGGACATTTTGAGCATATGTTATAGTTTGTTTTGTACTTGTGCATTTAAAAATTACTGAATTTTGCTTTTTGGTAAGTACCTAAATTATCTTTAATCTTTGAAAAATTTGATTAAAAGTTAAGTTCCTGTTTTAAGAGATTCATAATTACTAAAATTCCAGCTAAAATTTAAGCACAGCACTATCTTCGTACTAAAAAATCGATGCATTTTATTTTATTTATTTTAAAACTAAAAACAATTGTCTTGAAATTTCCTTAATGTTTCACAAGAACAATTGTTTACATTTTTTCCGTAGGACAAGAAAGGATAAATTTTGCATCTTTTATTAATTTTTTTAAATTGAAAACGTTTTTTTTCGCAAAATCCCCATTTTTCATATTTAATTTTTTTCATTATATTCTTTTTTCGATATTTAACATTTTTTGAAAAAAAAAAAAAATTTATATTTTTGGGAAAAACGTTTTTGATTTAAAAAAATTAATAAAACATGTAAAATTTATTCTTCAATTGAAGTAACGATTTCGATCATTCGGAATGCAGTGAAAGAAAAATCGCAGTGGTCTGAACACTTGAGGGTTTCTTTGGGATACTTTCGAGATTAAAAAAAACGGAAATATTCTTAGCCTGTTCATTATTTGCAAAATTTTCTCAAATGTAGTGAAAATCTTTAAATATGCGATATTTCACCTTTTTTTTCAAGTTTCTTGCATCAAAAAACATTTTTGATCAAAAAACGATAAAAATATGTTATGCAGGATGCTTTAAAGTTTCCAACTGCTCGTACAGATTTGCTGGACGAGCATTAGTTCCCGAATAATTAATTATCAAAGCCAAAATGGTGATTTTTTCTTTGAATTACGATAACTCGGCATCAAATCATCGTAGAAAGCTCCCGAACGGCTTAAATTAAAGAGGATGAATCAAATTAAATGAACTGACGGGTGGGATTACCAAAAAAAATTTAACGAAACCCGTGGACTTTTCGAAACGGAAGCAAAAACTTTGAAAATTTTTTTCCACTGGATTTCTTTATTTCTAAGTAACAGCCTTTTGAAAATCGTCTTAAAATTTACGATTTTTTGTTTATCCTTTAATTTTTACCAATGTAGCCTTTTCCGCGATTAAATAAATAAATCAACGACCTACCCGACAGAACGCTTTTATTTGTACGATGACCTACTCACCTCGTTGGCCATCTGCTCCGTGTGGATGGTCCCCGCGTATATGCAGATGAAACTGCCCTGGGGGACGTCGTTGAGACACCTTATGCCCCAACCGCGGTTGTGCGTCTTGAACACCTGCAGCTTCAGGCTCATCGGATTCTGCACGACCCTGTTCAAGCAAGTCGAGCTACACTTGCACCTGAAAAACGACCGTAAACGTCCCGTTTTCCGTCACGTCGACGTTCTTACCTCGAATTGCACTCGTAGATCCCGGTTATGACCTGCTCCGGCAGCCTCCTGTATATGTAGCCCACCGAGTTGGGATCGACGTCCTTCCCCACGTATTTAGCGCCCTCGAGGGTTAGTTTCCAGCACGCGCACTTCGTCTTGTCCTGAAACAATTACAAACCGTCGGAATCGTTTTTTTTTGCCAGTCGCAAGACCTACGATGCAGTCGTCATCGCAGTCGCACCCGCACAGGAACTCCGTATCGAGATTCATGTGGACGCCCTCCATGGGCACCCTCTTGATGGAGTAGTTGCAGAAGTCCAACATCTCGTTGTTGATGCCGTTTATAACCGGGATGGGGACCTGCTCGAGACCTAAAAAATTGTTTTTCTTCACACCTCGCCGAGATAATAGCTAAAGCGTTACCTCTCGACAGATCCTTGGGGTCCGGATTGCACTCGACGCTGAACTCGGCCAGGCACCTCACCATGTGGTTGAAGTCGAACAGGTCGACGGTCATCTCGCTGTTGGTCAGGCGGAGGTAGTAGTGGACCTCGGCGATGTTGCGCAGCAGCCTGCCGCACGGCGCCTTGTAGATTATCTCCTTCCTGCCCTTCGCCTTCAACGTCATCCTCGCCCAGCCGCNCTACTTTGCAACATCGGTAATAAATTTAAACATTTTTAACTTACAGTATATTTTAACTTTAAAAATTTACTGTTGCCGTCCTAATCAACCGATTTCAATTTTTCAAAAACCATTTGAAAGATTGAGTGGTCTTTTCTATGTGAAAAAATTTTCAAGTATCTAGATGCTTTATTTGAGGCTGTGCAACATTTTGAAAACTTGACAATTTTTTTCAAAATATTTTAAAAAAAATTATTTTGCGAAAACTATCGAACCGAAATTTGGTGGGTTGTTTTATTATACTCTAAAGTTTTTTTACCAAAATTAGAATGCCCTCGGAGCAATTAAAATATTTAAAAAAAATTATCCAAAAACTTGATTATTTTGCCTTTTTTTCATCAATTTATTGCTACTTTGCAACATCGGTAATAAATTTAAACATTTTTAACTTACAGGATATTTTAACTTTAAAAATTTACTGTTGCCGTCCTAGTCAACCGATTTCAATTTTTCAAAAACCATTTGAAAGATTGAGTGGTCTTTTCTATGTGAGAAAATTTTCAAGTATCTACATGATTTATTTGAGGCTATGCAACATTTTGAAAATTAAAAAAAAAATTTTTAAATTTTGTTCAAAAAACAAAAACTATTGAACCGATTTTAATGAAGTTTGGTGTGTTGTTTTATTATACTCCAAAGTTTTTTTACTAAAATTAGAATGCCCTCGGAGCAATTAAAATACTTTACAAAAATTATCCAAAAAAACGATTATTTTGCCTTTTTTTCATCAATTATTGCTATTTTCGATAATAAATTTAAAGTTTTTAACTTACAGTATATTGTGCAAAATTCAATTCTAAAACTTTTTTCCTCTTCAATATTCATCCAAAATGCATAGGTTACAAGATATAAGTAAAAAACTCAGATAAAATAGGTACTTTTTTAAAATTTTTCACATNGCTAAAATTTAAGCACAGCACTATCTTCGTACTAAAAAATCGATGCATTTTATTTTATTTATTTAAAAACTAAAAACAATTGTCTTGAAATTTCCTTAATGTTTCACAAGAACAATTGTTTACATTTTTTCCGTAGGACAAGAAAGGATAAATTTTGCATCTTTTATTAATTTTTTTAAATCGAAAACGTTTTTTTTCGCAAAATCCCCATTTTTCATATTTAATTTTTTTCATTATATTCTTTTTTCGATATTTAACATTTTTTGAAAAAAAAAAAAAATTTATATTTTTGGGAAAAACGTTTTTGATTTAAAAAAATTAATAAAACATGTAAAATTTATCCTTCAATTGAAGTAACGATTTCGATCATTCGGAATACAGTGAAAGAAAAATCGCAGTGGTCTGAACACTTGAGGGTTTCTTTGGGATACTTTCGAGATTAAAAAAAACGGAAATATTCTTAGCCTGTTCATTATTTGCAAAATTTTCTCAAATGTAGTGAAAATCTTTAAATATGCGATATTTCACCTTTTTTTTCAAGTTTCTTGCATCAAAAAACATTTTTGATCAAAAAACGATAAAAATATGTTATGCAGGATGCTTTAAAGTTTCCAACTGCTCGTACAGATTTGCTGGACGAGCATTAGTTCCCGAATAATTAATTATCAAAGCCAAAATGGTGATTTTTTCTTTGAATTACGATAACTCGGCATCAAATCATCGTAGAAAGCTCCCGAACGGCTTAAATTAAAGAGGATGAATCAAATTAAATGAACTGACGGGTGGGATTACCAAAAAAAATTTAACGAAACCCGTGGACTTTTCGAAACGGAAGCAAAAACTTTGAAAATTTTTTTCCACTGGATTTCTTTATTTCTAAGTAACAGCCTTTTGAAAATCGTCTTAAAATTTACGATTTTTTGTTTATCCTTTAATTTTTACCAATGTAGCCTTTTCCGCGATTAAATAAATAAATCAACGACCTACCCGACAGAACGCTTTTATTTGTACGATGACCTACTCACCTCGTTGGCCATCTGCTCCGTGTGGATGGTCCCCGCGTATATGCAGATGAAACTGCCCTGGGGGACGTCGTTGAGACACCTTATGCCCCAACCGCGGTTGTGCGTCTTGAACACCTGCAGCTTCAGGCTCATCGGATTCTGCACGACCCTGTTCAAGCAAGTCGAGCTACACTTGCACCTGAAAAACGACCGTAAACGTCCCGTTTTCCGTCACGTCGACGTTCTTACCTCGAATTGCACTCGTAGATCCCGGTTATGACCTGCTCCGGCAGCCTCCTGTATATGTAGCCCACCGAGTTGGGATCGACGTCCTTCCCCACGTATTTGGCGCCCTCTAGGGTTAGTTTCCAGCAGGCGCACTTCGTCTTGTCCTGAAACAATTACAAACCGTCGGAATCGTTTTTTTTTGCCAGTCGCAAGACCTACGATGCAGTCGTCATCGCAGTCGCACCCGCACAGGAACTCCGTATCGAGATTCATGTGGACGCCCTCCATGGGCACCCTCTTGATGGAGTAGTTGCAGAAGTCCAACATCTCGTTGTTGATGCCGTTTATAACCGGGATGGGGACCTGCTCGAGACCTAAAAAATTGTTTTTCTTCACACCTCGCCGAGATAATAGCTAAAGCGTTACCTCTCGACAGATCCTTGGGGTCCGGATTGCACTCGACGCTGAACTCGGCCAGGCACCTCACCATGTGGTTGAAGTCGAACAGGTCGACGGTCATCTCGCTGTTGGTCAGGCGGAGGTAGTAGTGGACCTCGGCGATGTTGCGCAGCAGCCTGCCGCACGGCGCCTTGTAGATTATCTCCTTCCTGCCCTTCGCCTTCAACGTCATCCTCGCCCAGCCGCACAGCAGCGGCTTGGAGAGCGGATTGTGGCCGCGCAGCTTCCCGAAGTTGTGGGTGAGGTAGTCCTTGCACTTCGGCGAGCAGTTGTGCGGCCGGTAGACGCGCTTGGTGATGACCTGGTCGCGCGGCGTGAAGTACTGGAAAAAGAGTCGGTTTCGATCGTTTTATACCCATAGTCCGGAAATATTTAAAAAATACCCATAGTCCCACCAAATTACAGTTGGAGAAAAAAAAATTGTTACCTGGACTTTTATTAGTGGAAATGGTAAATGGGCTTATAATAAACCTAAAAATAAATAAATGCGTGAGCAGGGGCGGCGAAGGGTTGATTTGGGGGGTTGAAATGTTATGAAAAATTGTATCATTGGGATTTCTGGCGAAAGTTGACGTCAGACCAAAAAGTATCCAATACAAAAGTTGTAGATCATGCAAAAATCTACAACTTTTGTAGAGATCACTTTTTAACATAACCTCAAAATTTCGGAGACCAATGCGAAAAACAGTTTTTTTTCTGATTTTTCATTTCTTTCTCAGTCTTAAACAACCTCAAATTTTTTTAGATAAAAAAATCAAGAAGTTTCTGAGATATTCATTTTTTCGGCCTGAAACACTTTTTTTTCAAAGAAAAATTCCACTTAAAAAATCATCGTACAGAGTTCTGCCGGTAATCATTTTTTTCCTTTTGACATATACCTTTTGGTGAAATAAAAAATCTGTAATAACATTTCAAAAACATGCTCAAAAATGCAAAAAAAATAACTCTAGACGATTTGAGATTTCAGCAATACAAAGTATTATAGTCTGTTTGGAAATAAAAGAGAGTAATAAAACCCCGAGATAAGAACCGGCCATGGGCGTGGTAATATTTCGTTTCAGGTAATTATCGGGTAACACTAATGCTAACAAAAATGACAGAGATTGGAAAATCGACTATCTACAGACTTTTAAAGGAAACAAAAAATGTACAAGATACTGTAAATCCCCCAAAATCATCTACAGGGAGGTCAAAAGTCGTTATAGATGATTTCTTCAAAAATGTCATTCGCAGAAAAGTACACTCATTTTATTTTAAAAAAGAAATACCAACGCTAAACAAAATTTTAAGTGAACTTTCAGAGGACAACGATTTGCCAAAAATCAGTAGAAGCAAATTATGGGCCGTCTTACGAGAGTTGAATTTTTGCTGGGAAAAGCAGAACAGGAAGTCAGTTCTTATCGATAAAGATGAAATTATTTGTTGGCGAAGATCCTACTTAAGATCAATTAGAAAATTCCGTG